GAAAAGATGCCGTAAAGAACTCTCCGGGGGAACATGTGCAGGTAATGCAGGGTTTATCTTCTGAGTATTTGGATTCACGGATACGGTGCATTTCTGATCAGCAACGGAAAGCAGACCCATTCTGAATACGCAGAAAATAGGTAGCCTTTCAAGTAAAACACATGATCAAATGATACTTACCTATCTACAAGATGAAATTCACTTCCATTAATGGATTTGGAACAACAAAATAGAATGCATCGCCTGGCTCATAAGGAAGACAGGAATGATGGTCTAAAAACCTCAAGAATAATATGCATGTACGCACGTCCACGAATAGTTATATATATAATATTTGAACTATTAAAATAAAAAATATCGATACCGCCTAAATCAAGCACAAGCTCGTGTTTGGGTTTAGACACATCCGCATCTGTCACTCGAGCAGTTCCAACAACGGTGACGTCATAGGGTGCACTAGCTGAAATAAGATCTCTTGAAGAGTTATTTTGCATCTGAACGAAACTGAAGTTACCGATAAGATATCCGAAGCAAATCCCAACGGCGCGTATTTAGATCAAAGAAAAGTCTTTGCAACAGGGCTTACTGGGGCTCCAGCTTCGAAATACACCTACTATTGGAGTAACAACTCAGTTGACCTGCTCAAAAGAAATAATCAAGCGTGATCCCGCAAAGCCTCAGTGGAGCAATCAGTACCAATTTCTTCCTATTTACTCAATAATCTCGATATCTTCGACGGAAAGAATTCGGTCCTTTGTGCATTTTTTTTTTTTTTTTTCTGAGACTTCTTAGCTTTAGGTTTTCTTAGGTTGAGGTTTTATTCTGCCGTTCCTCACGACTGTTACTGACCAATGATTACTGAATTAGAATAAATTTAATAAAAATGGAATAGTTCACAAACCTACTCCAACCATTTTGGCTCCGTTTTGCCATGGAATACCATGTGGTTTCGTTTTAGTCTTTCATGAGACACTGATGAAGCCAGGTATTGCTGAGGTGCTACTGGGACACGAAGTGCAGGATCGTTGGACAATTTGTCCTTACCTTAATGAAGACCAACAGTTTCGCCAGTTGTTCACTCATTCTAGAGATCAGTACTCAATCAGGGAAACCTTGCGGATATTCGTACGGTTCGGGAGACAGAAGGAGCTTAGGTGGCTCTGAGTTGACTTGCCCATCATCGCCTTTTTCCGGAACTTCTCTTTTCACCGCTATTTCTATTTTTGAAGTTAACCGCTGCAACACCTCGGGATTCAAATTAAAGCGCTGTACCAGCACTTGGAAAAGCTTTTCAATCCATGGCTCCACAACCAGCTCCAACCTAAACTATAATACTTTGGAAAGGGTGATGCAAAGCTAACGGGTGCAGAAAAACTCGATTGGCAAAAATAATATGTTCACTAACCCCACTTGGTCGTCGGCATGTCCTGTTTCAACAATTGGCGTAGCACCAAGAAATTTGAGCCTTTTTTCGATTTTGGTAGGGACTCCTTGAAAGGTGGAGTAATTTGAATCGCCAAGTCCTAAAACTCAGTTGTTTCAATATCGCAGATAGAAAAGGTTTACTGCTGAGTTCAGTAATCTTTTATTACTGCATTACTATGCAAAACTTACAACATATAACAGGACCAAGTGTTACCCACAAAAGACGTACTCTATACAAACTGTTCTTCTTTTCGAGTTACATGTCTCGCCCCAAGTTAACTAAGGGACCCTGAATCAACATTTAATGCTGTCTATTAGGTGCTAAGTAAGTTGGGGGGGGGGCGGCGCCGTTCTCTATGCGTGATGGGACTATGCCTCAATTCAGGAAGGAGTGGCAGCTGCGAACTTTATGATTTAGGATTGACTTTTAGCATATTTGTACCTCCTTCTAGGCTCAGTGTCAGTATATTGGTAAGCGCCGCACCGTCGCGTGGTCCCCCTTCCTTCCCAACTCACTTATCATCGTCCAATGAAAGCAAACTCTCATGAGATAGAAATATCCAAAGGGCATCACTCTGTTTCGGGCGGCCGGACCTGTCGTAACTACGGACTTATTAGAAACCCTGGTTCCACTTGTCACACCTGAAGGAGCGCACGAGAGTAGGTTGGAGAGCAGAGTGCAGCATTCCCTCATCCCATCAGGCTCTCTCACGCCAGTTCAGGTCTATGGTGAAAAATTAGCGAGCCTAAACTTATGCGTGCCCGTCGTGTCCACACCTTCAGATGAAAATGAAGTCACGGAGCCGCAGACACCGCATTAGATAGCGTCAAAAGCATCAAACAGCACAAGGGCTATCGATTACTCGAAATTGTCGCCACTTGACCACTATGATTGTTTTTGTTATTATCATACATCTAGAAAAAAAACGAGTTTCAAGCCAAACCAAACAGACCTAGTAGGGCGTAGTCGAGTTTTTCTAGGAAATTCGTCTCCAAAGTTTTCCTCGACAGACGTCTCAAAAACCGAGAAGCGTTCTCCGGTGGATCACCGTCGCCCGTGGACGACACCACAATGACTACAAGAGTTTCTTCTTCAATGTGAAACTAAAAATCAAAAAATCGAGAGCAAAACGAAATCTATCCCAAAAGAACTTTTCAGAAGTGCGCCGTCTACGCAAAGAAAGAGGTCAGATTTCCTTCAATAGATATATCTCTCAAGCGCGATAGGACTAAGCCTGAGCCTAGAAAGGAGTGGGTAGGCTGTGAACATTGCGATTCGTGATTTCCCAGACTTTCGCCAACTTGGGCTGTTTGGGCCTCCTTCAAGGTTCAGGCTCAGTGCTATCGCGCTTGGCAGACGCCGCGCCATCACGTGCCCCTCCAAGTCACTTACAAGGGAGGTCGTTCAGGGTGTGCCAAGCTTTTTCAAAATGGTTTCTTGCATTGGGGCACATATGGGGACCACAGAAGCATGGTTCATTTTTCCTGAACGGCCCTCTGAATACCAAAAGGGGGTTACTGACTGTCTAATCATGAACATGGTACTAATTATTCATGCTAACTCCATTTTGCGCGAATTTTGGAAACGTCAACTCGAAATGCAAAAATTTGTCACCACGAGGAATCGAACTAGGGACCCCTTTTCTGGTATTCAGAGGGCCGTTCAGGAAAAATGAACATGGTTCTGTGGTCCCATATCTGTGCCCCTATATCCATGCAAGAAACCATTTTGAAAAAGCTTCACATCCCCTGAACGAGCCTCCCTTCGTTAGCCCCGAGAAAGCGCGGTTTAGCCGTCCGATATGCCCTTATTGCACGAGCCCTCCTTCTTACCACATTTCACTACAATTCGTACTGCACCCCTGCCCTGTATATTCATAAAAAAACCACGAACTTTTATAACAATAACGAACCTCTTCTCGTTCTCCGTCAGTGTATATGCAGGCTTATAACCTCAAATTTCAGCTTTCTTGATCTCGATATTCATACTGCTGACCCAGTAAGATCCATATATTAATAAGGAATCTGCTCACCCCCATATTCTTAAAGAAGGCTGAAAATTTCATTTCTATAGAAAAAGGAGCTAAATAAACAACCAGCGAAGCAAAAAGGGTCTATTCCAGTTAGGGGGGCATCATGATGCAGCTTTTCGGCGAACTAGTGTGAACTTGAACATTCCAGCTTTTCACGCATGTCAAGTGACTGCCCTCACCCCCACCCCCTAGACTGGCTACACTCCCCTGGCTCGGAGTTACCTTAGCTTTCTGGAAAAACTGCATCATGACCCCCTAACTGGAATAGACCCCAAAAACTTAAATATTGATGATTTATACAGTAGAATTCATTAGGCCCTGTTCAGAGATGTCCGCCGGCGCGAAAAAACGCACAGGCGAAAATCTCCGCCAAGATTTAGATACGCATCGACTGAGAAATTGTGAAACGCGTAAGCGAAACGTCCGGAGCAGGCGAATTTCAGTCAAGAGTTTGATATGTATCGACTGTGAGAAACGCACAGGCGGAAAATCGCGTGAGCGAAGCGTTCGTAAGTCGATGCGTATGATACTCATTTTCGTCGATCCTCCCACTTCACGATTCGCCTGTGCGTCTTCGTTCAGTCGATACATATTTCACATTGTTTCGCCTATGCGTTTTTTCGCGCAAGCGGACATCTCTGAACAGGGCCTTAATTGCTTCAAAGCAGTACATTAGTACGCATTTACGCTGATACCATCCCGAACCGCGATTTTACGGATCTGAGCCATGATCGCTAATTTTGCTCTGGACAATTTCATGATAAAGTTATGGCTTGCGCATCATTTTATTTTTCGCTCGTTTAATAAATGGATTGCATTATCCTAACAACATTTCTTCTACCAGTCAACATCGACATGTGGCCATCTACCGTAACAATAAAAGTAACTTTAACAAGATGTCTCAGGTTAGTTGTTTAGGTGGTGGTTCATATTTGCTCGTATTGAACCTAACCTACTTCCATACAATTTTGAACATAAGTCTTGGTGGTTGGCTTTGTTTTTGTTTACACTCGTACCATACCTCAGAAATTCATATCCATGGGAGGAAGACCTAATTTTATGGTAAATCATGGCTGAAAGCAGTCCAATCTTTTGATTTGACTAGTTATCATCATCAGCCAAGTCACATCTAGTAAGGAAGAGGGCATGTGATGCGGTAGATCATATCGCTCAAAGTAAGTCCAATTTTTCGCAGGGAAGGAGGCTCCGGGGCAATTGTGGAAGCGGAAGGGGAATGGTTGGTGCGTGGTGATTTCCTCCTCCTGCAAAAATTGGAATTTCCTGTATACGGCAGCAAAAATGGCACTGATTTCGGCAGCGGGATAAAGTCCACCTAAGTGTTAGATTTGCGATTCATGTTATATCGCTTTCTGTGTAGTATGCTTAAAAGATAATTTTACCATAATTACAGCGAATCAGAGCCATGGCTGCTTTACTTTTTGTTGTTTTTCAGCCTTCCCGTCTTGAGAAGAAAGCGCAGGATTGCATCAAAGAGGAGAGTTCTATGAAGCTCACCAAGTTTATCGTACTTTGTATTTTCGGATGACACAGCAAGAACATTTTGAGGATTTGCTCCAGATTCTTTGCACTGGATCGCAGAAGTTGGGTGATGGTGAGGTTTGATTTGAATTTGGATCCGGATTTTAGTCTTATTTGATTAATGCACCTATTCAAAACTCTGCAACATGCTTTCTCGAAATGTCACTCCACCTGCATCTTTTTGCATCGTATTTAGGCGTAAATGTTGTTGGAGGGGCATCCAGGCACTTCGCCCCTGCATAAGTAATCACCTTTTTGCAGAGGCTCTAGGTCAAGTAAGGCTGGTGTCAGAGTCCGCGATTTTTTGCGCGATTTTCGCGATTTGCGCGACGGTCACGGAAATCTCAAGTGCCTCATTCAATACTGCAAGGTGTTCTCTTCCACTTGCTTCATATTCAGTGTTTCAATTGTTCAAATGGGCCACTTGCAATTTTTGTGATCCGCGCGATCTCATGGTCATCCTCATGGTCAGTTCAGAATAGATGCAGTTCCGTCCCTGAACGAATGAGCATTTCAATGAATAATAGACATAACATTAAACGAGTAGAATCACGGGCAGTCTTCCTTCAATTTCCAGGATTAAACAGCACCTCGCAGTATTCATCGGGGCACCTCCAACTCCTGTGACCCATCGCAGGTTTCGCAAAAATCGCGCAAATCGCGAAAATCGCGGACTCTGACACCAGCCAACCGTTAGCTTGTGGTGACCCGAACATGAGCAGGGATAAGCGAATATAAAGATGAAAGTATTGTCATAGTTCCGAAAAATTTGGGTTGCTCTGCGCTATGATGTTCCTCTCCGCTGCACCTGATCAGCTTCCTCTTTCAATTCCTCCTGTTATTGTAATGTAGCTTTGTCGAAAGCACAGAAGGTATGGCTATCGTAAACAGTTTGACTCGAGATTTGATCCTTGAACTGGGTACGACTACACTTACCGCTGTACCGCGGCAATTTCGTTCCGTAGAATGTGTACATAAAACAGAAAGTAATCTCAGAAGATCCCTGTTGGAAAGTTGTATACACGTACATATAATCACCTCTACAAATGTTCGTGTCGTTCTGATTTTTTTACCTGTACACTTTTTAGTGAAAGAGTCACTGAGTGCTCTCGATCTTGCGGAGCTCTATGCGGAAACACTATTTAAAGCAAAGTGTGAGCCCTCTGAGAAAATTTTTGATCAACTTTATACGGTAGGTGTTTAAGTCACACATACTGAAACTGTGTACGGTCCTTAGAACCATTGCCTCTCAATGTTTTTCCTTGCAGATGCTTCTACAGCTCTGTGATCCTAAATTCCCCGTCCCTAATGCGGATTCTCTGAACAAGTTCATTTCAACATGTGTGAAATGGTGGGTCCATTTTACGAATTTCGGATGGCTTTTCTAGCACACTTCAGTTGATCATGAACTTATTTAAGGTCTCAAATTGTTGCAAGCAGGCGTCGTGAGCGGAAACATGGGCTTAGTGAGTTACACTATGTGATTGCCCGAGCATTTTCACACCACCATAATTACGTGAATGCACGAAATCATATGCTCTTCGCTGATCATCCTGAGGTAATTCAACATCGTTATTATGACTGAATTTATGGTTTAAAGCTGCAGCTTTCCAGGAATTCGCTAAGCTCTTGCACACTATTCGTGAAGAAGGAGGTAGTAAATCGTCTGAAGCTGAAATATTCTGTGTCCTTCCTTGTCTACAGGTGTGTTTTGTCAGCGTCCGTAACGAAAGTTTTTCTAAGGGATTCATTTTTCTGGAATTTTCTTCATTTTGCGCATGAAAAGCGCAATATTTGCATAGAATTCATTTCGTTGGCTTCGTTAAAATATGCGACACTTTGTGCGCTTTTTCCTTTCCTGGCATAAAATCAACATCGATTTGATGCCATATTGATTTGGCGAGTTTATTTGAGTAGTAATGTGTCAGTAGAGGAGGCAATGAAAGCTCCTGCTCTTCAGTATCGAGTGTGAAAAAGAAAAGAATATAATGAACTTCAAAAAGCAAGTCACATGAATTTTTTCTATGTCAATCGTTTTCGG